GCAAACCTCTTGGGCATCCCTGGGGGTGGGGTAGATTCCGGCTTCCCAGGATTATGAGGGCATGTGTTTCCAAGAACCGTCTCTGGGGAAATGCCACCCCCAGACGCAGGCTTGGTGGTGCTGGAAGGGAAGGTGGAGTAGGCAGGGACTCGTGTGGGTGGGCTCCCAGGGTGCCTGTGGGGTCTCTTATATGTTGCTGAGCGTCTTTTCTAAAAAGCCGCTCCTGCCGCGACTCATGGGAATGAGCAGACGTCTTCTCTCCATGCTGCTGAGGCCTCGTTCCCTGCTTGTAAATATTTGATTAGGGTTTTTGAAAAATGGATGCTGTGTTTGCAAGGCGGCGCCAGAAGGGCGTTGCTCCTTTCCCTGTAAGCTGACGGGCTCCAGGCTTCCAGGGGACCACAAGGCTTGGCTTTAGGAGCGGTTTCCAGGCTTCCAGGGGACCACAAGGCTTGGCTTTAGGAGCGGTTTCCAGGCNTTTGATTAGGGTTTTTGAAAAATGGATGCTGTGTTTGCAAGGCGGCGCCAGAAGGGCGTTGCTCCTTTCCCTGTAAGCTGACGGGCTCCAGGCTTCCAGGGGACCACAAGGCTTGGCTTTAGGAGCGGTTTCCAGGCTTCCAGGGGACCACAAGGCTTGGCTTTAGGAGCGGTTTCCAGGCTGCTGCAGCCTCCCCTGCAGGCGCCGCGCCCCGGCTCAGCCAGAGTGGGGCTTCGAGGGTGCCCAGAGTCTGAGGACTTCAGAATGGCAGAGCTATGAGCTGTGTGTTAGGGCTGTCAACCGTTTTTGACCAGAAACTGTGGTAGGAAAAGCATTTGTCTTTTTTACATTGTGACTCAGTACACCCTTATGTGGGTGTCTATTTAAATATAAATATATTTAACTGAAGTGTCCCTCCTTGCTATGCTGTACTCTGATGTTTTTCTATTCTTTTTTTCCTTTTCTATTTTTTTTTAAATGTGGTTTGACCCTTCCAAATGCAGTTTGAAAAGCCCTACCCTAGGCTAAAGGTTTTTCATCTAGGTTCCATGAGTGGGTTTCAGAGGGGGTTTTTCATGATAGAGATTGTGATGGTGATGATGATGGTGGTGGTGATGATGGTTATGATGGTGGTGATGATGATGGTGATGGAGATGATGGCAGTTGAAAAGCATTGGACCAGGCACTATTGTAAGGACTTTACATGGATTAATTGTTTTCAAAGCCGTATTGAGGCAAATGGTATTGTTATTATGCCCACTTTATAGGTGGGATAATTGAGGCATAGAGACATTAAGCCACTTGCCTAAGGTCACGTAGGTAATTAGAGGTGGACCCATTCTAACCCAGGTCTGTCTGATCCCAAGATTCCCTCCAAGTTGGGTGTAAAATTGTGTGTGTGTCGGGAGGGGGTGTTTTTATGCAGAGAACTCTCAGATTTCTGCAGACGTGCTAAGGCAGGCCTGGGTCAGGTATGCCTGAGGGAGGAGGCACCTTCTGGGGGACTGCCCTGTGCTGCCCACCTCACTGCCTTCCCCAGCCCCAGCCACCTGGTCTCATCACACGGAGGGCACATCCTGTGGTTGGGGATCTCTTGGGACAGCCCAGACCTGGGGTGCAGACAGCTCTCTGTGCCCGCCCTTTACTGTCTATTTCTCTCTCACAGGCCCCGAGGGCAGATCCCCAGGTCCTTACCTGTATGGGTGGTTCCTCTGCTACCCATTCATGGCTGGGTGTCCAGGAACCCCATCCCCACCCCCAAGAACAAGGCAGGAGCCATAAGTCTCAAGATCAAAACTTAGCCTGGTGGGGGCTTGGGGAGATGGTAGCTTGGTGTGTGCTGCTTGCTTTTAGTTGTAAATTTTTCTGGGTGGTACCTGGGGGCTTTCATTCCAAATGGAGGATCATGTCCAGCCTTGAAGTTTTGGCTGCAATCCCAAGACAACAGAAAGTCCTGTTTGACATCCTGTCCCCGGCTCATTCATCCAGCCTCTCTCTCTCTCAACACCAGTTGTTAAACCAATATCTGACCCTCCTCCGGGCAGGTGCTGGGCATTCAGGGTGAGAAGGAAGAGGGAGAGACAGGGCTTTGAAGGAGAAACGTGGTGTGGGAGGGGGCAGGCAAGAGGAAGGGAGGGACCCCGTGTCCCAGGCGGGGGTCACGGGTGAGCGAAGGCTGGCAGCTGAGGGGAATCCCACAAGTGTCTGAAATGGGGAGAGGACCTTTGCCCCCAGATGGCCAGTGTCTTCCTCCTCCACAAGCCCTCGTTCCAGGATTCGACACTGCAGGCTCAAAGGCTGCAGGGAGAGCGGGTCAGAGCTGGGTTCCCACCGTGTGACCCTGGGGACCTCCCTTCCTTTCTTGCTGAGCCTCAGTCTTGTCCAGAGCCTACCATGGTGGGACTAAATCAGTTCTCAAATGCTGCTCCATGGAACCCCCAGGGTTCCATAGAGGTGCACTGGGTGGCTGCCAATAAGACAGCGGCAGTGGGTCAATAGCCAGGGGTGTCTACCTCCCCCGGGGGTGCTCATGGGCCATGGGGGGATTTTAGTGGCAGCTCTGGGCACATAAGAGGCATTGAATGTGAAAGCCCAGCCCCATGGCCAACTTGTGCAGAATATGTTGGCGAATGGTGGGGAGGTGCCCAGCCTGGAAGTCTTTGCAGCTGGGCCCAGGTCCCTGAGCCAGCTCACTTCTCTGAGCCTCTGGTTCCTCATCTGAAAAATGGGAATAATCCTAGCTCTTAATTCACTGGGTTCTTGTAAGAGTTAGGTGAAGCCTTTCCTGTAATGTAATCAGATTGTTGTTCAGTCACTAAGTCATTTCTGACCTCATGGACTGCAGCATGCCAGGCTTCCCTGTCTTTCACTATCTCCTGGAGTCTGCTCAAATTCATGTTCACTGAGTCGATGGTGCTATCCAACCGTCTCATCCTCTGTCGTCCCATTCTCCTCCTGCCCTCAGTCTTTCTCAGCATTAGGGTCTTTTCCAATGAGTTAACTGTTTGCATCAGGTGGCCAAAGTATTGGAGCTTCAGCTTCAGCATCAGTCCTTCCAGTGAATATTCAAGGTTGATTTCCTTTAGGATTAACTGGCACCTGGCAAAAAGTAGGTATGCAGGCAATGCTGGTGATGATTTTTGCTTTCTACTCCGTGGCCCTCAGCCTCCTCATCCATAAAACAGGAAGAGAGAGACCTGTCTGCCCACCTTGCTTCAGGTCTGAAGGTCCCTAGGGTGGCCGATGAGGAGGTGATGGTGGTGATGATGATTATATTAGTTTCCTAGGGCTGCAGAACTAATTATCATAAACCACGAAGCTTAAAACAGCAGGAGTCGATTCTGCACAATTCTGGAGACTGGAGGTCTGAAATCAAGGTGTCGCCGAGGTTAGTTCTTGCAGAGGAGACTGAGGGAGGATCTGTCCCCTGTTACTCTCCCAGCTTCTGGTGATTGCTGGAAGCCTGGGGATTCCGTGACTGGTAGACACATCACTCCAGTCTGTGTAGCCATCGTCACATGGCCTTTGCCGCTGTGTGTCTCTGTGTTTTCTGAGGACACCAGTCACTGGATTAGGACCGCTCTAATCAGGTATGACCTCACCTTGATTATGTCTGAAAAGACCCTACTTCTAAATAAAGTCACATTCACAGGTATCGGGTTCATGCTTCCTCATATATTAATATTTTGGGGGAGGCACAATTTGACCCCCAATGGTGATGATAGTGATGATGATGGTAGTGGTGGTGGTGGTGATGATGATGGGGTGAAGGTGTTGCTGTTGTTGGTGTTGTTGATGGTGATGGTATTGGTGGTGATGATGGTGATGGTGATGGCGATGAGGGTGACTTTGTAGATGCTAAAGGGCTGTATTAATTTGGGGATCTTATGACAGGCCTAAGAGCTGATTCTTAGTTGGGATACTTTCATTGTCAATGAAAACCCAGTTCAAATGGCTTTCTATTGGCCCATGTAACTGAGAAGTGCAGAGGTGTGGTGGGTGTCAGATGCAGTTTGATCTACCTGCTCCCCTGGACCATGTATTCCAGCCATCTCCCTTTAGGACAGATCAATAGGTGCCGACAACTCCCAAGGTAAGAAACTCACCGGTTGATATGCAGGTGTGACAGCGTTCCTTTATCTCATCACTGGAGGAAACATCTGGAGTTGCCTCCAGCTGGAAGGATCAAGGTAACATGCTCACCATTGAACCCATTGATGGGGAATGACTTGCATTGATCCGTCTAGGACTGGGATGGGCAACAGGTTGGAATTCTGTTCATTGGTCTCTGTCCACCTGGCCCTGACCTTGATGTTGAGGGTGGACTCAGCACTGTGGAACCCCTGCTGGGAGCTTCGGGGTGGAGACAGGAACAAGCATTCCCACCTGGGACCCTCTCTTTCTTGGTGGGGGCTCCACTGGCCCCAAATGTGGGAAGGATGATGGATGAGCATTTTCCCACCGTGGGGACAGGTGAGAGTATTCTTCTCTGGATTTCCTTAGAAGGGCTTAGAGCAAGAGAGGTTTTGGGAAGAAGCTGTTTTTGTTTTTGTTTTTTAAACTTTCATTTAAAAAAAAATTACATGAATATATGGTTGACCCAAAAGTTTGTTTGTTTTGTTGCATAACGTATTATGCCAGCCCAATAATATTGTTCATCGTATAAAAAAGATTTTTTTTTTTTTTTAGTAGTGAAGCAAGAGGGAAAAGGTGCACCAGGGGGCTTCCCTAGTTTTCCAGTGGTTAAGAGTCTGAGCTTCCTCTGCAGGGGGCATGTGTTCGATCCCTAGTTTGCGAACTAAGATCCTGAGTGAGACACAGCCAAAAAGAAAAAAACAGACTGGTCATTACCTGGGCAGGAGTCTGGGTGAGTTCGCACCTTGAATCCCCATCCAGGTGGATCACCTCCTGGGTGTGAGGTCCTGGGTATCCGGCTGGCCCTGATGGCCGAGTGCACTGAGGCCTGCCTCTCATCGCCCCCACTCTCGGTGGCCCCTCTGAACCCCCTGCTCTTCTCCTACAGGCAGCCCTGGTTTTACGGCTGGGGTTTTAACCTCCCGCGTGGCCAAGCACTGCTCGAGAAATGGAACCTCATTCCCGAAGGCGTGGACGTCCTGATAACCCACGGACCGCCACTGGGTAGGACTCATCCGCCCCTGCCTTGGGCCCCTGGCCCCGGATGCCTGCTCGTGCTGGGAGGACGCAGGGTGTGGGTGCTGGGGCCAAGGGGCCCTGGGCCTGTCCAGGGGAGCTGCCGAAGGGCTCTGAGTCGTGGTGCTGGGGCGCCAGTCACCCCACTGTCGATCGCATTTCCTGCGCACCTACTGTGTGCCGGGGGCTCCACGTGTCACCTCCTGGGCTGCTCACAGCCAGGTGGCGAGGTCAGACTCAGCTGCCCCTTTCACACGGGTGGCACCGTGGAGCTCAGGGGGCCAGAGACCTGAGTCTTGGGGGCTGACTACCACAAGGTCACTCTCACCAGGCCCCATCCTGTGCACCCCTCACCCCGGGAGACCACCCATCCCAGGGCCTGGGATTGCACAGTCTGCAGCTTTCCTCCCAGCCCCCACGCCCCCTCTCCGGTCCAAGCGGATGTCACCACTTGTCATCCCAGGTGGGAAGGGCTGCCAGGGGAGGCCCAACACAGGCCCAGAGTCCCTCGCTCTGATACCTGTTCTGGGAGAAGCTGCCCCGAGCACCTCTGTGCGCCAGAGGACCAGCCAGCACCCTTGGGTGCCTCCCTCCACCCTCACGAAATATTCCCCATTTCCAAACGGAGGGAACCTGGAGGCCCAGGGCCCTGACATAGTTTAGGCATGACACGTGGCTTGTAGTGAGGCTCTGGAGCAGGTTTCTTGTTTTCTCCCTCCCTCTCTCTCTTTCCTCCTTTCCTGCTTTCCATCTCCCCATCCATTCCCCCACCAGCATCTTTTGGGTTCCTTCCTCACCACATCTGTTTCACACACAACACACAACCCCTGCTCTGGGGGTTGCCTGTGTGCTCAGCCCAACCCAGTTTTTAAATGAATTGTTGAATGTGGCACAGAGAGGTTAAGTGACTTGTCCAAGGTCACACAGCCAGCAGGTGGCAGAGCCTGGGGCTTAAACCCAAGGGTCTGCTCCAAGCCTCCTTCCCTCCCACTTCCTGCCTCTACCCTCCTCTTCCTCCTCCTCTTGCTCCTTCCTCTCTCTCTCTCGTCTCTAAGTCAGGTCCGCTGCAGCCTGTGTGATTCTTTGAGTGGCAGGATCCATCTTCCCCTCCCCAGCAGTTGTAGAAACCTGTTTCTCCCACCCAAGCAGAGAAGGGGCTGAGCTGAGCCCTCGTTGTCCGCGTGGAGTAATCAGTTACTCTTCGTTTGTGTAGCCATGTGAGGCTACTAAGCCGCCACCATATGGGCGGCTCCGGGAGGCTGGCCGTGCAAGCAGACCCAGACGCGGGCGCGTGCGTGAGGCTGCAGTGGATGAAGAGGGTGTTTTCCTGATTTTGTGATGCTTGTTTAGAAAGTTTCCAACCTGGGAATTCTGCTCCTGGACTCCTCCCTGCTGCCGGCTGACCTTGGGCCTCACCTGTCCCTCTCAGGCCTCAGTCGGCTTCTCTCTGCAATGGGCGGATGCCAGCCTTGAGGCCACTGTGAGCATGAGTGGTCTGGAGGCGCTCAGCTCTGGAGCCGTCTTCCCTCCCCCGCCCCGCCTCGTGCTGCCTGGCGCACTCGGGGAGGAGCAGGGACAGGGGGAGGTGGGGGAGGCCGCGAGGTCCCAGGAGGAGCACGCTGAAGCCGGGCTTCCCTCCCCGAGGCTGGGGAGGGCAAGGTGGGTCCAGGACTGCCCTGTCTCTGAGACTGCAGAGCTGCGACCTGGCCTGCCTGGGCCCCGTCACTGCCCTCCCTCTCTCTCCCCTGCCAGGCTTTCTGGACTGGGTCCCCAAGAAGATGCAGCGGGTGGGCTGCGTGGAACTGCTCAACACGGTGCAGAGGCGCGTCCAGCCGCGGCTGCACGTCTTCGGCCACATCCACGAAGGTCAGCGAGGGCGGGGGCCGCACACGTGGTTGTTGTTATTGTTCAGTTGCTCACTCGTGTCCGACTCTTTGCGACCCCACGGACTGCAGCACACCAGGCCTCCCTGTCCTTCACTTCGCTCCCGGAGTTTGCTCAAAGTCACGTCCATCGAGTCGGTGATGCCATCCAACCATCTCATCATCCGTCATCCCCTTCTCCTCCTGCCCTCAATCTTTCCCAGCATCAGGATCTTTTCTCATGAATTGGCTCTTCCCATCACGTGTCCAAAGTAGTGGAACTTCAGCTTCAGCATCAGTCGTTTCAATGAGTATTCAGGGTTGATTTCCTTTGGGATGGACTGGTTTGATCACACGCTGGTGGGGGAGGGGCACCTCACTGGCTTATCAGAGGGACCCTCTTGGCTCCCTTGAACTTGGTCACCTCCTCCCTGGCCAGCGGGAAATAGCCCACCTTCTATATATACTTTGTATCTACATACACCTATCTACACGCTAGCTGTCAGTTACCCATTGCTGAAGTGTTTCATCATAGGAAGATGAGGGCAAAGTCTGGCAAGACTCAGGGGTAAGTTTTACTTCCTAGAGCCCTGCAACTCTGCCATGCCTCTACCCTGGGAAGTCTTCAGAGATGGCGGGGGGCTTTCTGGAGGAGGGGACATTTGGATGTGACCTAGAGAAGGATTGCCTTTGGGGGTACACTGTGAGCTGAGTACAGGGCTGGAAGCCTGTCTTCCTGTTCACATCTCTATGTCCTGGCATACAGCAGGTGCTTAATGAATGTGGAGGGCTGCCTGCCTACCTGAGGGCTCCAGTGGCACCTCCCCTCCCAGTGTCCCCACCCAAGACAGACACGAGGTTCCGCCTTCTGTCCTGGGGGCAGGACCACTTGCTGTGTCCCCATGGCCGGAGTTGGAGGGGGGTGTCCATGTCATCTCGGGCAGTGGGCAGGGTGGCTGTGAAGGTGACTGGTGATGTCAGCGGCAGTCCTGACTGCGACGCTGTCCCTGCCCTGGCCTGTCACTGCCCAGGGTTCACCTCATTAGACCTCAGCCTTCCTCGCTGCAGCCTGATTGCACCAGTTGGACAGCTCCCTCCTTTGGCTCCTTTTGAACTTTATCCCACCTGTCCAAGGCCTCGTGGTCCCACCGTACCCTGCCATGAAGCACATGGGCTCCCATGGGGCAGGGGGACCACTGTGTTTTCCCTCAGGATTGTCCCCTGGCCTCTTGAACCTCTGTCTGCGTTGGGCTGGGGCTCCTGGGCCTCATGTTTGTCTGGTTCACATCAGGTCACTTTCCAGCTCAGAAACCAGCAAGACTCAGACCCTTCCTTCTGCATCATGCTGTCAGGGGTGGGAGTGATCAGACCTCCAAGACCCCGAGGAGCTCACAGACTTCTGGGCAGCAGATGAGCCATCAAAGGCGGGACCTGAGAGGTCATGGGAGAGGTGGATGGTGCATGTGCTGCAGGATAATAATAACGCCTGTCGTTTTCTGTAGCCCTACTGTGGGCATGTAACACCATCGTCTGACCCAGACCACCCCCCCACCCCCGCATGATTGTACAAGCAAAATGCAGGCTCCAAAGACTCGCAACCTGCGCAGAGGAGGGGAAGTGTCCCTTTTGGTTTGGATGTGACCTGAGCTGAAGGTTGAAGAGGATTCTGTAGATGTGGTGGGAAGACGGTATGATGAGCTCAGAGATGAGGAGAAGAAAAGTACGTGATGGTGGTGGTGATGGTGACAATGATGGTGACCAGGTGGCAGTGGTGAGGATGGTGATGTTGATGATAGTGATGATGATGGTGGTGGTGGTTGTGATATTGAGGTGACAATGATAGTGGTGATGATGGAAGTGGAGATGATGATGGGGATGGTGATGGGGATAATGATGCTGGTGGTTGTGATACTGATAGTGATGATGATAGTAGTGATAATAGAAGTGGAGATGATGATGGTGGTGGTGATGGTGATGATGGTGATGGAGATGATGATGATGGTTCTGATAATGACAGTGATGGTCATGGAGATGACGGTGGTGGTTGTGATATTGATAGTGATGATGATAGTAGTGATAATAGAAGTGTAGATGATGATGATGGTGATGGTGATGGTGATGATGTCAACGATGATGGCTCAACATGCACTTTTCAGGCACCCGGGCTGAACACGTGGATTATTATCTCATTTGCTGCTCACAGCAGGTTGGGAGGAGTGTCTAGCCTTGCTAGTTTCCATAGCTTGCCCCAGACAATTTTAGCCTCCTGTGGCTAAGTGCCCTCTGACACCCACACCCACCAGACCACCCTCAACTGCTCCTCTCAGCCCTGACCACTGTATGCTTACTGTCTAGGGTACGGAGTCATGGCAGATGGGACGACTACCTATGTGAATGCCTCTGTGTGCACCGTGAACTACCAGCCCGTGAATCCACCCATAGTCATCGACCTCCCCACCCCCCGGAACTCTTGACTGCCCCCGCCGCCCCAGCCCTTCCCACGACATCAGCTCCATACACCTGGCCGAGAGCACGGACCCCCAGCTGCGCTTCCTTCCCTGCACACAGCCCGTCCAGCTCTGGGGACCAGCCCCGGCGACGGGCTGAGGCCTCAGAATGAAGAAAATCACCCCTGACTCTGTCCCTGGAGTCGGGACCCCGCGGGGCTGTTGGGGGATCTGCACTCATCGCTGATTTCTGCCTGTCCCTTCCGTGTGTTCCTTGTTAAAGGACCTACTGTGCTCGCGGCTGCATCCTGCTTGGGACGTGACAGTCTTCATCTTCTCAGTTGGACGCCCTCGTGGGTTTGGGAAGCTGCTGCTCTTGGACGGATTCTGAAGTTCTGGCACAAAATCTCCCTCTCGCTGAGGGTCTGAGTGGCTGCACGCCTCAGGGTTGGGGAGGGTGGGCGGGGGTTGTCACAGCCTGAGTGCAGGCCGCCCTTCCGCTTCTCCCAGGCCTCCGAGGCAGCAATCAGGGACGTCTCAGGAATCGGGTTGCACCTGGCCAGGCCACCCAGCCTTCGGCTTCATGCCGTCCCGTGTTTTCTTCCTGTGGGCATTTTTGCTGATGTGAGCGATGGCCTGAGCACCCTGGACACCCGCTCGGAGCCTGGACTTGGTGGGGTGGAGGGGGGTTGGTTCTGTAGAATGAGTTTGTTGAGGACCCAGGACTGGGCTGGAGGGTCCCCACGTGCCAGACGCCCCTGGTCCCCTGGGGTCTGCCAAGCTGCAGAACCCGGCAGCCAGGGGCGTCCATGGGCCGAGGCAGCCCTGCCCCCTATGTGCGCCCGTGGGGACGTGGACACACTCACACACACACGCGCCCCTCAACCCAGTGAAGTGAACTCCGTGGTTCCCACTGCTGTCCTCAGATGTGTTCTGGCCCCCGGTGGGGTTACCCTCGCCCCTCGGTTCTGTCTCCCCTGCCCTTGGCTGAGAAGGCTGATTGGTTCACAGTTGTGGTACTGGGTACCAGTTGCCCCCTAACGGGAACACGGCCCAGAGTCAGAGCCGGGACTGGACTCCCGCAGTTTCACCAGGGGGACTTCAAGGACTTCGGCGTTGGGATGAGACTCTCTGATGGACAGAGAACAAACCAGGCCTGCTTGGGGTGAGGCCAGCGACGCAGAATTGGCACGGGCAGCATTAGATTCTTTATTTAAAATTTAGGTATTTTGTTTATCATAGATTTCTCCCCCTGCTTTAATTTTGGTTTTTAAAAATATGGCATTAAAATAGTGTCATTGATCTCGATCGCCGAGTTTTTTGGCGCCCCCTTCAATTGTGTGTCCAAGAGGAGGGCTCTGCCTGCCTCCTCTTCATCCCAGGCCTGGGAAGCAGCATTTAACGAGCCCTTTGCAGATGTGATCTCATTTCCAGCACTCCTGGAAGGTGGGGACTACTGGCCCTGTTTTGAGATGAAGCGATTGAGATCAGAGAGGTTAGGTAACTAGCCTGAGGGTGCACAGCTCAAACGAGGCAGAGGCAGGATTTGAACCTTGGTCTCTGGCTTCACAGCCCCCTGCTCTGCCAGCACCCAAAGCTCTGCCCCTACAAGGCGACGCAGGACTCAAGGCTCTTTTTCTTTAAGGATCCTGTTCGGCACCTGTCAGGTTCGCTTTTCACGGAAAGCCCCTGGAGCCCTGGAGGACTCGGATCTCTGAGCCCAGGATCCCAGGAGACCGTGCTTGCTTCCCTGCATGAGTGGGGCTCCCATGGGGCGAGGGGCCCATCTGGGGAGCTCAGGAGCCGCAGCGCGCTGGCGGGGGCCAGCTTTACTGTGCGGCGTGCGGGGCTTCAGGAGTCCCGTTCACCCACGCGGTTCCTGGTAGCCGGGGATGTTTACAGGGTCTCTGGGGGCACCTCAGACGCACAGTGTGTGTGTGCTTAAATGGGTGGCGACGACTCCAGGCTCTTTCGATCGCCTCTCCTGAATTTCTATGAGGACCAAGAACTATAAACTTAAAAAAAAAAATCTTTTTCCTAAGGTATCTTCAGAATATGGTGTATTTTTATGTGGAAAATAAAAGTTATGAAGGCAGCTGTTACTTTAAAAGAAAAATTCATTAAAAGTCCTTGAGGTATGAAAGATGATGGCGTGCTCCTCAATCATTTCGGCATAACTTGATTGTGGCTGTAATTTTTTTTTGTCAAGCATGTCAGACAATAAAGTCTTTGTAAAAAGAAAGAGAAGTCCACCTGGCGTCTCTTCCTCTGTCTCTGGGTGTTGTGTGGGGCCTGTGGGGGAGGAGAGGCGTCCTCCCGGCCGAGTCCTGGGCTGAGTTCAGAGGCCGAAGACCTTCTGTGTGCCAGTGACTGGCATCCTTCTGCTGGCTTCGGCTTCCCTCAGAGGTGGTTGGCACGTGCACTTCTGTGCCCTATCATGTTCACATAGCTCGAACACCTGGTCCCCCCCCAGACAGTACCTCAAGGTGGCCTTAGCTTTGGCCTCTTCCAGGAAGCGGCAAGTTCTAATCCAGCCCTTGTCAAACTCAGGGTCCAGGTGTTGCCCAAGAGAAGCTCAGGCAGATATAATGGCTACTGTTCCAAAGCTCCCTGTGCTGTAGAAGTTCTGCCATTTTCATCTGCCCATCCATCCATCCATCTCATAGCAGCAAGTTCTAATCCAGCCCTTGTCAAACTCAGGGTCCAGGTGTTGCCCAAGAGAAGCTCAGGCAGATATAATGGCTACTGTTCCAAAGCTCCCTGTGCTGTAGAAGTTCTGCCATTTTCATCTGCCCATCCATCCATCCATCTCATCACCATCCATTTATCCATCCATCCATCCATCCATCTACCTTCTATCTATTTATTCATCCATCCATCCACCACCTATCTATCTATCCATCCATCTATTTACTCTCTATTTATTTATCCATCCATCCATTCAGTCTCTATCTATCTATCCATCCATCCAACCACCATCTATCCATTCATCCATTTATCCATCCATCCATCCATCAACCATCGACCCATCCATTTATCCAACCACCATCCATCTATCCTTCCATCCATCCATCTAACCACCATCCATTTATCCATCCATCCATCCAGTCACCATCTATCTATCCACCCATTCATCCAACCACCATGTATCCATTCATCATCCATTTATCCATCCATTCATCCAACCAGCATGTATCCATTCATCATCCATTTATCCATCCATTCATCCAACAACCATCCATCCAACCATCATCCATCTATCCTTCCATCCATCCGTCTAACCACCATCCATTTATCCATCTGTCCATCCAGCCACCATCTATCTATCCATCCATTCATCCAACAACCATCCATCTATCCATCCATCCATCCAACCACCATCCGTCTATTCTTCCATCCAACCACCATCCATCCAGTCCAACTACTGTCCATCCATTTACTCACCCACCCATCAGTCCATCTACCCCACAAACATTCACTCAGCACCTCTCTTGGACCTGACTTGCAGTAGGGACATGGCAGCAATGGATTTAAGAGATAGGGTTGATGAAGGATGGGTGTGGGAAGCCAGAGACGATATAATGGGTGTTGGCTGCCTGTCATGGAGGGGTAACACGGGGTAGGAAGAACAGGTTTGAGGAGCGGATGCTGAATTCTGTTTGGGACTCAGGGGCCGGAGGTGCCTTTGGGAGATGTAGGGGGAGGTGTCCTGTGGCTGGGGGTGGAGTGTGATAAATGGACCCAGAGAGGAGGAGCCTCTCTGGAGACCTTCATTTGTGGGTCAGAACCAAAGCTGTGGGGTTGGGGAGCAGGCTGGGGGTAGCCCGGATGGCATCAGCCCACTGTGACACTCTCCTGTCCTCAGACTGGCCCACCTGTAACCTGCCCTTCCAGAGGGCTGCCTCCACCAGAGCCTCAGACATGGCTACAATGCCAGGTCCTGGGCCTTGGGTCCCCACCCGTAGGTTGCGGGGAGGAGCTGCTCCATTCGAGGCACTCCTGTGGCTGTGCTCACTGTATCCCAGAGCAGGGCTCCCGGGCAGGGGCAGGGCCCGCTGGGGCTGCCGTCCGCCCTGGTTGCTCTGTCTCACTGCAGCTGCTTGCTGCGTTAGTGCCTGCTACCCACTCTACTGGGGAAGCTTCCAGGTGGCGCAGTGGTAAAAAAAAAAAAAAATCCGCCTGCAAATGCAGGAGATGAAAGAGATGCCGACTTGATCCCTGGGTTGGGACGATTCCCTGGGGGAGGAACGGGCAACCCACTCCAGTCCTCTTGCCTGGAAAATCCCATGGACGGAGGAGCCTGGCGGGCTACAGTCCGTGGGGTCGCAGAGAGTTGGACATGACTGAGCACAGCACCCGCTCTGCTGAGATGTGGCAGCTGCTGAGTTCTGAGCCCGGTGCTCCTGCTGCCTTCAGTGTAGACGAGGCGGGGGTGGGGGTGGGCAGAGGGGCTGGCGCCATCATGAGCTGCCCCATGCTCTGACTTGAGCAGGTTTACTCAGCGGTGGAGCGGGGTCCACAGCAAAGAGAGCTTAGCACGCTGGGCTCACTCGCACTGCCAGCCGCCTCCAACACAGGATGGGGTCCCCGCTGATGCTCCTACTGTCCCTGGGAGTCCAGGGGGCAAGCCCAGTGAGCTGCAACCCTTCCCTCTGCCTCTGTCCTTATGGGAGCTCACGCTCAGGAAGCCCAGCCCCCAGCCGACTTGTCTTGCAATTTGGCTTCCATGGAGCTGATTCTTGAACGTGCTGTCTGAGCCACAAGGGAAACCCCTTCAGCCTCCACCGGGAGCAAATTCTCAGGCCTTTTTCTTCCAGGAGACTCCTGCCCCAGCCCCCTGGATAAACTAGTAGAGATGACAAGCTCTGCAGAGCCGGGTTTAACCCAAGACTCTCTCCTAACGTCACCCACAGCTCCCAACTGGGAGTCTTGTTGCAGAAGATTCTGGACACGCCAAAGGGTCCTCAGTTCCACCCTCCCTTGAAGGACCAGACTGCAAAGTCCTCCAGGATATGGAAAACAGGCCCTGCTGTCTGGATGCTTGAGGGGTACTTTGGAAGGCTCCTCTGATCCGGGAAGAAGCTTAACCCTTCAGCCGTCACACGCTTGGGGCTCAGTGAATGGCAGACAGGGTCAGGCTTGGGGGCCCAGAGGAAGATCAAATCCAGTGTGTAGGGGAGATCAAGGAAGGCTTCTTGGAAGAAGGAACCTTGCTAGGCCCTGAACAGGAAATGATTTCCCCACTTTAAAAAGCTTTTTCATTTTGAAATAATTTTAGATTTACAGAAGAGTTGTAAAAATGGTACAGAGAGTCCCCACAGCTTACCCTGATGTTAACATCTTGCATAACCAGGGTCCATTTATCAAAACTAAGAGATTAGCATGGTGTAAGGCTATTAGACCTTTCTTTGGTTCTTTCTGAATAACGTCCCATCCATGAGTCTTCGTGGTATTTAGTTATTATGTCTCTGTAGCCCTCTGTGGGTTGGTGACAGATTCTCAGTCTTTCCTCAATTTTCATGAGCTTGAAAGTTTTGAGGACTGTCTGCGTATTTTGTAGACTGTCCCTCCAGTTGAGTTTGTCTGATGATTTCTCAGGATTTTCCTGGAATTATGTGTTAGGAGAAGAGTGCAGAGGTGATGTGTTCTTCTCAAGGCATTATATCTGGGCTTATGTGAGACCAAAGTGACTTACCACATGCTTATTAATCTTTTTAAGTATTTGTTTATTGATTTTTCACTGCCCTGGGTCTTCCTTTCTGTGCGTGGACTTTCTCTAGCTGTGGCGAGCAGGCTTCTCATTGTGGTTACTTCTTTTGTTATGGAGCAGGGTCTCTAGACTCAGGCTCAGTAGTTGTGGTCCACGGACATAGTTGCTCTGGGGCATGTGGAATCTTCCCGGATCAGGGATCGAACCCATGTCCCCTGCACTGGCTGGCAGATTCTTACCTGCTTCGCCTCCAGGGATGTTCACGTGGTTGTTAATCTTGATCACAAGGTTACAGGATATCTGCTGGGTTTCTCCACTGCAAAGATGCTAGTTTTCCTTTTCCATACTCGGTCTGTTAGAAGCAGTCATTAGACCAGCTCACTCTCAAGGAGAGGGGAATGAGGCATCCAAGAACGGGGACATAGGGTATAATCACCACACTGACTTACACCTATTTGGAGGAGCCATCTCCAGGCTATGCGACCCGCCTAATGTTTTTCCCACTGATGCTAGCATCCATCCATGGGTCTTGCCTGGAGCAGTGGTTACTGCGGTATTCTCGTGGTGATTTTCTGTTTCTTCTTCCCTCCTACATGTATTATTTGAAATTCTTCTGTAAGGAAGATTTGCCCCTTCTCTGCCATTTACTTATTTGTATCAGCAAGGATAATCTTCAGGTTAGAACCTAATGCTGTCATTTATTTTGTTGCTCAAACTGTTCTAACTTTGACCATTTGGGAGTTCTTTCAAATTGGTTCCTGTGTTCTTTTGACATATTCCTTTTGTTTGTCTGTTTCACTTCCTTGCTTTGGAGCAGGCACATCTTGTATTTCCCTTGCCCCAGGGCATTCGCTGTTTCTCCTTCAAGTTCTGGCTCTTTTTATTTAGAAATTCAGATCTGGAGTGTAGATGGACTAGTTGTTATTGGGGTATGACTATTTCTAGACCCTCTTAGTGGAAAGAGCTAGGAAATATTTTTAGAATACTAATCCATGTAAGGGGCTTCCCTGATATCTCAGATGGTAAAGAGCCTGCCTGCAATGCAGGAGATGTGGGTTCAACCCCTGGAGGAGGAAATGACCACCCACACCAGTATTCTTGCCTGGAGAATCCCTTGGATGGAGGAGCCTGGCCAGCTACAGTCCATGGGGTTACGAAAGAGTCAGACACAACTTAGCAACTGATCACCACCACCACCAACAGTAAAGTTCACTTTTTGTAATGTACAGTTCTGGGGGTTTTAACAAATGCTTCGAGTTATATATCCATGACCCTAGTACTATAGGAAGCAGCCCCATCACCTAAAAGATTCTTTTATTTGGCCCTTTTTTAATCACACTGTTTTCCAAAAGGGCTTCCCTGGTGGCTCAGCTGGTAAAGAATCCACCTGCGATGAGGGAGACCTGGGTTCGATCCCTGGGTTGGGAAGATCCCCTGGAGAAGGGAATGCTTTTGTAATCTCACCAGCAATAGTGAATATTTCCTGTTAGTCCACATCCTCAAAAGAATTTGGTATTTAAAAATTTTAACTGTT